CGCCACTCTACTCACTGCCGGGGCGTGGTCCACCCCGACCTGGCCCCGTTGAGCAAGAGGAGGAGGAGGAGGCGGGGGCCGGTGGGTCTCCGGTGGGAGTCTCCAGCGGGTGTTTGTCTCGGCAGTGGGCGGGCGTGCTGAGCCGGTTGGCCCTGGAGCAGGAGCGCATCCTGAACCCCGTGCTGGACCGCGTCCGCACCGCCGACCACCACCAGCTGCGCTCCCTGACGGGGCTCATCCGCAACCTGTCCCGCCATGCCCGCAACAAGGACGAGATGTGTGAGTGCCAGGGAGGGACGGGCAGGGCCGGGGCTGTGGAGAGGAGCCCGACGGACGTCCCCCACCCTTTTCCTCCTTGGTCTGGCCTCCACTTACCTCCAGCCATGTCTCAGCACCTTCCTGCCTGCTGCATCCCTGCTCACAGCTGAGTGTGTGGTGGCCGGTCTGCCCCCCATCCCCTGTAACCAAACACGCCCCCCCTACATTGCGCTCTGCCTCCAACCCCACCATCTCACTTGGCTTTGTCCTTTGTCCCCCAACTCCTCTCCCAGGTGCCGAGGGGTCTCAGCAGAGACTCCAGAGAGCAAAGGGCTTGAAGATGTCCCTGGTGCTGCCCCACAGGCCCTGGGCTGGACCCTCTGTCCCCTTATTGCCCCCAGGAGGCTGCAAGGTTCATCCCCAGGCTGCTGCCACGTGTCCTGGGTCTGGCCACCAGCCCTGACATGATGCCTTTGCCCACCAGCCACCAAGGTCGTCAGCCACTTGATTGAGAAGCTGCCGGGGAGCGTCGGGGACAAGGTGCCGCCCGCCGATGTCATCGTGAACATCATCGCGGTCCTCAACAACCTGGTGGTGGAGAGCCCCATGGCTGCCCGTGACATCGTCTACTTTGATGGCCTCAGGAAGCTCTTCTACATCAAGAAGAGAAGGGACAGGTGGGAGCTCCCTCTCTGCTCTGCTGTCCCAGCTCAGACCTGGGGTCCAGTCCTGCTCTCCCCTTCCTCCCCTGGTCCAGTGAGGTGGAAGAGGGTCACAACCGGTCTCCTTTCCCACGGCTTGGTGTTGGGAATCCCCAGACCAGCTCAGAGGGGCCTCACGGCCACCTTCCAGCCCTTTGCCACCTCCTCGGGACACCCCACCATGGGGCTGCCCATCGCTGTAGCCTCCTGCTTCCCATCTGGGTGCTTCTCACCTCTCCTGCCAGAAGTGTTTGCACCCTGCCCATTGCGGTGGGCTCCAGCCTTTAGTCTTCTGCCTCTTCCCACCAGTGCTAAGTCCTCAGCCCCTCCGGGCCCGTTGGAGGGGTATCCTTGGGCTGGTGGGCACCGTCCCGTGCCCAGCGGTGCCCAGAGCTCATTGAATCCTGTCCCTGTCCTAGCTCGGACAACGAGAAGTCCTCCAGAGCAGCAGCCAGCCTCCTGGGCAACATGTGGCAATACACCAAGCTCCACCGGGACTTCAAGATGGTACGTACCACCCTCCGGTGCTGCCTCCAGCAGATCCTGGGATGGACCCCCAGGGTGGATCCCAAGGGAGTCAAGGCCAGGGGCTTCACCCCGGAGAGCCACACCACCCAAACATTTCCAGGCACACGGCGGGTCCCTGCTCCACGTCTCCCGCTCCTGAAGGGGTGGGGACGTCCCCAGGGCATCATCCCTGTGGTGGTACCTGCACCAGTGGGGTGGGGACAGCCACGTGCCCAGCGTGACCCTGTTGGTGCCAGAGCAGATCGGGTGTGTGTTGGCATTCCCACCGCCCAGCGAGGCACGGGCAGGAAAGGTGACGGCGCAGGCGTCCGCCTGGTGTGACGGGTGCCTGTCTCCTTGCAGAAGGGGTACCGGAAGGAGGACTTCCTCGGCCTGTGAGGACAACCCCCGGGAGCCGGACTGCCCAGCCCTGGCTCTCCCTGCCGGGAGGCTCCTCGCTGCTGGCCGTGCCCTGGGGAGGCTGCTCGCCACCGGACCCCTGCTCCGTAGCGTAGTCCCCGCCGCGTCCCTCGCTTCCCCCCTCTGCCAGATCCCCCTTCCCGGGTGGGGGGACACTTGTCCTCCCTCCTGCCGCAGCCTTAAACCCGGCGACTG